ATATATTTTTAATAAAAGATGAAAAGTGTTTTTTTAATTGATTCAATCTATCTTATGAAATATTTTTTTTCTAGTTCATCTATTTTTTTTTCTTTTTCTCATGAAATTTTTATTATATTTATATTTAATTATATTTAATTATTATTATTAAATATTTAATTATATTTATATTTAAATATTTGTACTATATAAAAAGAAATTGAAATACTATTTCATATAATATATCAACTATTTATAATATCAGCTATTATATATTTTATGTATTTTATTTTTTATATACATAAAATTATTCCCGTATTTGATTTTAAGAAAAAAAAAAAAAAAAATTAAAAATTTACGATTGTATATACACACAAAAAATCTACGCATATACGTTATGCGTTAACGATCTTCCTATTTAATATTGTATGCATTCTAAATTGCTTTTAATAAAATAAAAAATAAAAAATACATCGACGTTTTATTGTTTTACAGTATACAACGCGATATTATATGGACGCATGTAATTAGGATAAAAAGATAACATATTTCGCAAGATTATATGTAAGGGATAATGCGAATTAAACTTTATAATACAATTTAATTTCAAAGATTAAAAAATTTGTACAGTCTCAACAAATATTTTTCATCCCAGAGTAAAGAATTGAAAAGTACTCGCTTTAGTTTAATTATCATTCGATCATTATTTTACAAATGATAAAGACATTTGATTTCTTATGAAATTTCAACTAACCTTGGTTTGCAACATAAATGACAGTGCTTATGTTTTACATCACATTTCTATATCATATTGTATTATGTTAATCAATATATAAATATAAGATTTACCAAAAAATTACTACGTAAAAATTTATGAAACCTAAAAGCTGTTTTATTAAATATCTCTTAAAGTAAGGGAAAGTAATTCGCAATATTTAAAATTATGATTTTATGTAATAAAAAAAGAGTATTAGCGTTGAATTTCGATACAACGCAATATACACGTAATTTAAATTATTATTATTAATTAAAATTAAATCTATGATTCAGAAATCGAATTAAATTTTCGATTTCATGATCAATATATCAATATATATTGATATTGAAAAATAACATGATCTATCTTTTTTTATCATTTTTATAATTTCTTTTTACCCTTTTTTATTCTTGCAAAAATGATCTAATGCTATATTACGGAGGCAAAAAATAAATTCTCTTTTTCGCATCCGATTATAAAATATATTCATTCATCGCTCTATGTACAAGCTAAATGTACATATGAGTTTATAAATGTATACTGCAATAAAAAGTAAACGTTCATACTGTGCACCAAAGGCCGTGTAGTAGTATATTGTAAATCGCATTCCATGCACTCACTACTTGATATCTTTGTGACTATTTCATTCATAGTAAGTATGCAACATTTTATTCAATAATAATCCTGCTCTTAAAATATACACCAAATGATTGAACAGACATTGTGAAACAAATTTGCAAACAAATAACAGATAAAATGAAATCATTGAATTTATATGTCTGCAATGTTCACATTATAACTTTATCGATGAAAGTTTTTAATTCGCTAATTGTTACACAAAAACATTGCAATATTTTTGTTTCTCATATAGAAACTTATAGAAACTTATATAATTATTGCATATATGATTCTTGCGCTCTTTCGGTTTTTAAAGATATGGATGAACAATGTTATTTTTATATTATAATTATTTTTACGTAAAGATTAATTAAGTATTATATAATTAATCTTGTTTAACAAATAGTTGACTTTTAATAACATTTTATCCTATTCAAAATCTTAAATGAAATTAATAACTTATATTTTAACGTAATCTATCTTTTTTTTTTTTATAAATTTATGGATATTCATTGTCATTTATTTAATAGAAATATGCTTTAGTCTGAAACGAACTATGAAAATTATCACTTTTCCCTCTCCATTCGTCATCGAAAAAAATAAATCAAAAATCATTAAATCGATAATAGAAAAAGAAAATAAAAAAAAAAAATAATAGAAAGAAAATGAAAAATATTTTGTATATAAAAACATCGATATACAATTATAGATATGTTTTCATATATATTCTGAAGTAAATTTGATTAATGATGAATATTAATAATTCAAGTTTAAGCAAAATTTTTAGAGAACAAATTACATGCACATAAGATTGCAAAACTTTGCAAAATCGTAAAAGACAATATTAAAATGTCTAGAAATTGAATTATGTATGTTTCTGTTTAATGAGATTGTAATAAAAATATTATACAAAAACTAGAAAAGTTAGAGAAATAACGACGAATAGAGGGCATAAAATAAGATGTACAGTTTATCCAATGAATATAATACCTGCTTTACGTGATATATTTAGAATAAAAAAACAAAACAAAAAAAGAAATTGTAAACAAACTATAACAATTGTAAATATTATACAGATTATTAATCAATATCATATTACTTTTGACATAATAAATCAGACGATTGATATAATATTGTGTTAAAACATAAAAGATATATGTTTACTATGTGAAACTTGAGTATCAATTACTATATTTAATCATATGCAGAAAATATTTGATTAATCTTAATGATATAAAGTATTAAAATATTTACGTCTCTTTTTCAATGTAATTTGTCGTTCAATCAATGATTATAAAAAGCAGGTTTAAAGAAATGGCAAAAAAATATCTAATAACGTTTAACTATCGAGAAGGATTGGCATCAGTTAATAGAAGTTCCAGATTTGTATATCTCCCGCATTTTAAATGAGATAGTCGATTCAAATGCTGATTGAGCGTATTTGCAGCAATCGGTCGACAAGGTGCGACACAGGGTGGAGTTTCACCAATTATTTCAATGATGTTTGCTATGAAAGATGACCATTCCGAAGATAAAGAATCATCCGTGGGATATAATTTTTCTGCTTGTTCAAACATCGAAGCAATTACAGATACACCAAACTAAACAGAAAAGCGTTTAAATGTTGAAATCGATGTAAAAAGAAAAATAAAATATTAAAAAATTTAATAACAATAAAATAATTTTAAACAAACCTTGTTCGTTAAAGCAAAAGCTAAACTGTTGTTCTTGATAGGTTGATTAGCAGAGTCAGATAGCGATCGAGCTAATCGAAATATTGTATTGAAGTTTTGCACGGTATCGAACCATCGTTGAAATTCCGAATACAGGCTTATCAAGAGGTGAGAATCTCTACGACCTATAATAGCTAATCCTCGAAATATCGCGTTCCATAATTCTTCTAATTGATTACGATGGTCCGTTATATTTAAATATGGTAAGAACCTTAACAACAGCGTCTGCGATAAACAATAATATTCGAATGATCGATATAATAATTTTCTTTCTTTTTTTTTTTATGCATTTATGTATTATGTATTATGTATGTATGTATATATATATATATATATATTTTATTTCTTATAAAGATGTGTATTTTATTTTCACTTACCTTTCCTTTTCGAATACTTAGTATGCTCGCTAATTTATCATCTTGTATCAATTGAAGAAAAGCTGATAATATCATATTTATTATATCTGAGCTACCTTTTTTAATATTATTTGTTTCATTTTCTTCTTCTTGATTTTGTTGTTGCTCGCTAAGTAGAGCCAAAGGATTATGCAAATCTTCAAGTTTTAATTGAATTATATATAACTGAAAATAATATTATTCATGTAATAGAATGTTTATAGATAAATCGAACGTTTTGTTAAAAATAAGAAAAAAATTAATACCCTTTCAATTTCGAGTAACAATTGTCTTGTTCGCTTTGTATCTTTTTGTTGTATTTGAGTAGCTAATTGAGGATCACTATTTGGTACAACATCCATATCAATAACTTTACGTGGTGCAATAACACTAGCAAACTGTAATTTTCCCAAAGAATTTTCAAATTGTGTTGGTGTATATATGGATTTTGAAAGTACATGATGTGGTTGTTCTCGATCTCTGAAAACAAATGTAATAATAATGATTATTTATTTTATCAGGAATTTAAGCAGAAAAAAAAATAAATAAATTGAGAAAAAGAAGAAAAGAAAGAAAATAAGAGAAAGATTTACCTGGAATCTCTATGATAATTATTATTATTGTTATTGTGTTTTTTATCTTTTTGCTCTTGATTTATACATTGCCTATTTCTTCTATCGCAGAAAACGATGTAATAATAATCATCAACATACGGTTCATTTGTATTAAGTTGCAATAATTGAATATTAATTAACCACTGTTTTTCCCGAGTACTCATGAGACCGGCATATTCATCATATTCTCCTGATCCGATGATTCCATTTATTCCTTGACAGTGATGATTATAATGATAATGTCGTTGATTATTTCGATCATGATTACGATGATGTTGATTGTTCTTAAAAAATGGTTGGTGATTTCCTTGTTGTTCCCCATGATGAAAAGCTCTATTTTGATTTCTTTGATTTCCAGAATGCGGAAAAGAATGTTGCTGTTGTTGATGACTGGTCTGATTGCTAGAGAAAGGAGGTATCATACTATGATCTGCTCGTAAAAATGGAGGTGGACATAAATTCGAAAGCGATGGTTGCTGTAACAATATGATTAATTTTAATAAAATATTTTTTAGAAATATTTATATACAATTAATTATTAAAACTTACAGGAAAATTATTACAAAATGAACCATGAATTGGTTGTCTTTGAGCAGTATGTGGTAACATCAAATGTGCTGCAATAGGATATCTCAGTACATTTCCAGTTTGATCTGTAAAAATAAATATATTGATTTCAAAAGAAAATAATGTGAATTTAGATTTATATTATCTTAATTTATCAATGATGAAATTTAATTTTTCATATACTTACTGGCTAATAATCTAGGATGCTGTAAAAATTGAGGATGAGGAAATCTCATGTTTGTTGGTAAAACAACAGGATGTGGAGGTATACCCAATCCTGGCGGGAAGCGCGGTGGTGCAGACAAAGATTCAAACAAAAGTGATCCATCAGATTTCTGTTGTTGTTGTTGTTGTTGTTGTTGTTGTTGCGGTTGTTGTGTTTGAGTAGGTTTATTTAATCTAGATGGTTGTCTATTTGCAATTAATCCCTTTTCTAATTGTTCCACTGTGCATACATTTGTTATAGCTGGTGATAAAGTCAAAGGTGGTCGAGGTTTAGGAAGGACTAAATTGGAAGGACTATCCCATACTCCAGGACGTGGAACAATACCTTCTTTTTCATCTAATACCAAATGGGATAAATTATCTTCAATGTCTAAATTGGTTACATTCTGTAACAATAATCATAATTTTTTTATAAATCAGGTATAAATGATTATAAATAAAAAAAAAAATATAATAAATCTATTTACTTTTTTGCTTAAAGTATTCTGATTATGAGGGCGATTGGATTCTGTAATTTCTGCAAGTTTTTCATGATCTTTTTCCCAATCGCCAATAGTAGCTTCAGAGCCAAAAGTTTCATCATTCAAAGCATCATATTCTTCCTCTTCTCCAAGATCATCTTCTTCAAAGGGACATTCGAGACCATCTTCTAAACTGCTATTCTATATAAATCATAAAAAATAATATATATAAAAATAGTAAATGAAAAAGAAATATTATTAAAATAATATTTTGTATTGATAAAATTGAGTGATAAGTAAAAAATTTTGATACAAAGATAATAGCAAACTATACAATGATCATTCGCTTTCTTTATTTTGTTAGAACATCTAATAGAAAACTAAAATAAAACAAAATTATGGGAAAAAAAATTAAGAAAAAATTAAAATAAAACAAGCTTGTAAAAGAAAAATAATAATTAATACAAAAATAGCAGTATTAATGACCTTTGAAGAGATTAAAACATTGACGAGGTTATGCGATGTATGTATCTCCATAACGACTGGAAATGGTAATGATACATACTATGTATTTTAAGAACTATATATGCGTAAAAAAAAAATAATAGAATATAAGATATAAAGTATTCGCTAAATAATCTTTGCCAATCTATGTAAAATGAATAAATTATTCGTATTAGCATTGGATTGCATTGGACAGTTTATAATTTGTTATATTTCTGATGAAACCACGACGCGACTCTTGGTTAAAATCATGCACAATCTCTTAATCTTATCGTGTTATTTTTCATTATTTTTAAACAGAGATGAAAAGAAAAAATAATCCCAAGAGGAACTTGCTTACTTACTGCAAGCGACGTATCGAAACCGAAAAAGAAGTCTGCCATTTGTCGAAATTAAATGTGCAAAATGACATGTTCTGATCAAACGTCAAGCGATACGAAATGCATCAGCTGTCATGGCGGTTCACTATGTGAATTCATAACTGTATTCTAGATGTCGCAGTCGTTTCTTTAAAAAGCTTATATATAGCATATTTACTATTTAATATTTCGAAGCTCTAATTACAATTAAATTATTTCAAGGATTACATTAATTACACTTAAAATATTTAAAATGTTACTATTTTTTTAATTACATGTATCAAATAGCTTTTTTTTTCATTTAAATCAATAAGAATAAGAATATCTTAATGTATTAATATTATTGAAAAGTATTGACATACACTATTTTATGTGCATGCATTATATTATATTAAAAAAATAAATTGTATAATATTTAGATATTTATAATAACAAGAAAATCATTTAATGATAAAAAAGGGAAAAATGATGAGAAAAGACGAATGAATTGAATGTGCATTTTTATTGCCATCAAGTCTTTTGATATTGTGCTAATATTTTTTAAATTTTTTCATTCTAATTTAAATGTTAAACAATTCACGCATTAAGTAATATTCATGTCTAATCGCTTAATTGGCAGACTGCACGCAAGCTTGATATCTCTTATATTCTAAAAAAAATATTTGAAATTAAGCTAATGTGCACAATTGCATCAGCTTTAAGATACAACTGGTCGTGCTTGCATTTGCTTTGTTTACATTCATATGTGAAATATTAGTAGTGATCATTAGAAAGAACATATTGCTCAAAAAATTCTAAGTAAACAAAATCCTAAGTACATAAGTAAATAAGTAAATTGATGTAACGGATATTATTATATTTAAACACTGCTAGTAGCGTGACAGTCGTCCAACGTGGCTAAACTGCTGGCTCTCAGTGATGCCAGACTCAAGGAACTGTGATTCAAAGTATTCATGCCATGAGGATCTTCGCAATGCAGGTACAATCGTGAACTAACGGATTTGTGACAGTCGGGACACAAACGTTTCTTCTTTTTGTCACGTTTTTTTAAAATGTCGTATGCACACCTATAAATTGTATATAATATAATGCAAATAATAAAAGCAATTCGAAAAAAAAAAAATGAAAAAAACATGTTATATTTTTGAATTCACTTTACCTGGCATGTAATATGTGAGAACAAGGTAATGCTTCCAAAGAATCGGTTTCAAGGCCAAAAGGCTCGTTACAACTACCACATCGCAATTCTAAATCTTCTTCCATTGCCGTAGCTAATCTTTCATGATGAGTTTTTTGTTCCTCATCTCCAAGAGAACCATAAATACGCGAAAGCCTTGATCTCACCGTTCGTACCAGGAACTACATTTCAAAGAAAAGAGAGAGAGAGGAGGAAGAGGAGAGGATGAATAGAACAAATAGAAAAAACAGCGAAGATTATTAGGATCTAATTGTTAGTCAAAATTAAATTAGAAATTAAAATATAAGATTTCTTACCTTCGCACCAACTGATCCAGCTACTTCGAGCAGCCTAGTATTGAATTCAAGAGGACGACAATTGCATATTTTATGTTGTAATCGAAGGGCCTCAAGACATCTCGCTGCGCCGTCCATAGCTTCCATTTGACAAAGACGGTCTCCGGTCGCTGCCGCAGATCCCATCGCACTTTCATACTGTCGAAATGCTTTCTACGAACGAAACAATAATGTAATCACACAATTATATCTTACATCTTTATTTCATTTTTTATATGAATAAGAATTTGTCCATCTAATTTTTATCCTTTTTATATACTTACGTTTATATCGGACTTTTTTCTATAAATATCTCCCATTATTCGTATACTCCTAGCATAACTAGCTTGATCTCCAGAAACTAACGATAATCGTGTTGCCTCCTGCGAGTTCCCGATCAAAATAAACAGGTCCAAGTGGATACGTGACAGTTGAATATGGGGGTTGTAGAAAGAAAGTTACTGCCTACCGAACAGTAATCGTGGGCGTCACCGAGTTCTCCTTTTTTCCGGAGTGCCGCTGCCATTTGAAGAAGAGCTGCTCTATGATGTCGGGAATTTAAGTCGCCCAGTTGCAAGCTTCTCGAGAGGTCGTAAGCTCTAGCCGCATACCTAGCGCTCTTATCAGCATCGTGTAATCTGCAGAATAGCTCCGATAAACCTACGTATACCTATGGATCGAAAACAATATGAAACAACAATTATCTATATCTGAATGAGATTGAATCTTTAAAATCTTACCTGCAATTCCAATGACGGGTCTTGAATCGAATGAGCAATTTTATGAGCTCTTTGAAAAGCTTCTAAAGCTTTACAAAATCCTGCTAATTCCAAGTGAACTCTGCCTACGGTCAAATGAACCAATCCAGCAGTCGCACATTGATCGCATTCATTGTATAAGCTATGAAACAACATATTAAATAATTCATTCATAGTTTTATTCAATTGAATTAAATCGAGCAATAAATATGAAATTCGAAAATCAAAAATCAATTGAAAATAATTTGAATCGGATAATTTGATAAATGCATATTTTATCCGTATACAAATTATTTGTATATAAAGTATATAAGTCATGTATATAAATTATTTGTATATATCTCAATTAATTTGATGATCTCGAAACTGCTATATAATTTCATGAAAATTTTAAGATATAGAAGTTAAATAGCTGCTATATAATTTTATGAAAATTTTAAGATATGAAATTTAAATAGTTTTGAGGAACATATCTCATAAAATTATGATTTTTTTGTAAATGAAAGTGTTTTAAAGATTTCAAGATCATCTTGATTTTTTTAAATAGAATTTTCTTTATATTATAAATTAAAATATCATTTCTTAAAATATCATTTCAGTAAAAATTGATCTTCATGCATTTTAATCTTAATAGTCAAAATAGTTAAATATTAACAAAATAATTTTTAATATATATTTATTATTTCTAAGTTAAACTAAATGCTTGAATTAATGCTCCTTTGATATAACTTCAACATGATATAATTTCAATACTTATTTTTATCCTATCAAATCTTCAATGAAAAATATGATCTAATTATCTTATTTATTATTGAATATATCTCATCGTATATTAATTATTCACTCTATTGTCATTAATGATCAATTTGTTTAATGTTTTGTAACCAATAATATATTTTTTAAATTAACATATATTTATTTAACAAATAAATATTGCTTTATTCGCAAATGAAACATTTTGTGAAAAAAGAAAAAGAAAAAATAATTATTTTTGTTATAAAAGTTTTTAATAAAACATAATAATTTTAACAAAATGACACTTGAATGCATCGTATTAAAATTGAATTACTATTTTTAAAGCATCTACTTTAGCTTTTAGAGATAAAATTATTTTATTAATCTTATTAATTAATCTTATTAATTATTAAATTAAAGATAATGATGCATTTTAAACTTAACGAAGATTGATATATAATATTTTTATTTCGAATGTAATATTTTAATGATTTACAATATAAAAAATAGATTTTTCTATTTAAAAAAATCAAAGTAATTTTGAAATCTGGGAAATGTCTCTATTCACAAAAAAAACATGTAGGTTATAAGATGTATTTCTCGAAATTTCACTCAAATTCTATTTCCTATAATTTTTTCCTATAAAATATATCGTTTAGCAATTATTCGAAATAATCAAATTAGCTGAGACATATGAATAATGTAATAAAAAAGCCAATATAATTTAACGTATCATTATAATTACCATTATAATAATAAGAAAAAATGATAGATATTTTTACCTGTGTCTCGCATAGTCCAAAGCCCTATCTAATGCGCCCAATCTTTCATGTGCCCTCGCCAGATTTAAATAGGCTTCTGCCCGCATGTTTGGCGAATCCAATTCTTCGGAAATGCATAACTGTTTGTGTCCAAAATCGATGCTATCTCTGAAAAAGATATATGGTTTTTTTAATAGATTACATTTGTTCATTTATTTGTTATCAATAACAAGTTGTTGTCGAAAGCGAGAATAAGTCGAGCGACGAACTTGATTAAAGTTGAAAGTTTCGTTGAAACTTTTAACGATTAAAAGAAACGAAATAAAAATAGGAAATGGTGAAAGATCGAAGTGTATCAAATACTCTTTCACACATGAATGAGCACAATGAATATCTGCGAGTAATAACGAACATGTTGGTTTGTTAGTGGTTCGTTACTCGTTTTTTAGGGAGAAAAAAAAAAAAAAGAAAAAAAAAAAGAAAAAGCTTCTTTACGGTGTCAAGAATCTTCGAACCTTTCACCTTTCAAGTATGATGTGTCTCGCTAATTAAATATTATCTCTTGGTTATAATCTCTTTATTAAGCTTTTTTCTCTTCCTGTTCGTAGTTTAAGTTACGAGGTTGACAGTGCCTCTCCATAGCATTGAAGTGGGTTGAATAGTCTGGACAATCAGTGCCTTTCGGCGAAACAAACCATCTCGTGTCTTTCTTCTTTTTTTTTTTTCTTTCGCTTCTTTTTTTCATCGCTTCATCTCTTTATGCATTTCATTTTTCGTTCCTCCTCATTTTTTTTATTGATGTCATATTATTTTCTCCACCTTCATTTTTTTTGATTAAAAACTAGTTACTTGAAATGAAAAGTTATTTCGATTTGGAAAAAGCATTTAGGTAGCGAATACGAAGAAAAGACAAGCATTTGGACAAGAATTCAAAAACAAAAGTATCGAAGTAATTCTGATTACATACCTATACTTTCCCCAATCCATGTAGGCTTGATACAGATAGCCGAGA